TCAAGTCTGAGACCAAAAGAGGGTCGCTTCAAGTCAAGTCTGAGACCAAAAGAGGGTCGCTTCAAGTCAAGTCTGAGACCAAAAGAGGGTCGCTTCAAGTCAAGTCTGAGACCAAAAGAGGGTCGCTTCAAGTCAAGTCTGAGACCAAAAGAGGGTCGCTTCAAGTCAAGTCTGAGACCAAAAGAGGGTCGCTTCAAGTCAAGTCCATCGCAAATCAAGTCGCGTCATTTCTCAAACCAGAAGAGGGTCAAGTCTGAGACCAAAAGAGTGTCGCTTCAAGTCAAATCCGAGACCAGAAGAAGGTCGCTTCAAGTCAAGTCCATCGCAAGTCTAGTCACGTCATTTCTAAGACCCGAAGAGGGTCACACCCGAGTCAAGTCTGAGACCAGAAGAATGGGACTTCAAGTCAAGTCTATCGCAAATCAGGTTGCGTCATTTCTCAGACCAGAAAAGGGTCATGCCCGAGTCAAGTTCAAAACCAAAAGAGGGTTCCTTCAAGTCAAATCTGAGACCAGAAGAAGGTCGCTTCAAGTCAAATCCATTGCAAATCAAGTCGTGTCATTTCTCAAACCAGAAGAGGGTCACTTTATGTCAAGTTTACTTCAAGTCAAGTCCAAGACCAGAAGGAGGTTGTGTCCGATTCAAGTCAGAGTCCAGTAGAGGGTGGCTTCCGAGTCAAGTTCAAGATCATAAAGGGTCTCATCCGTGTGAAGTCAGAGACCAGAATAAGGTTAAAGGGTTAGTTCACCCAAAAATGAAAATTCTGTCATTAATTACTCACCCTCATGTTGTTTCAAACCCGTAAGACCTTCGTTCATCTTCGGAACACAAATTAAGATATTTTTGATGGAATCTGAGAGCTCTCTGACCCTCCCATAGACAGCAATGCAACTGAAATGTTCCCAAGTCCAGATACGTAGCAGGTAGATCAGTAAAATAATCCATGTGACATCAGGGGATCAACTGTAATTTTACGAAGCTACGAGAATACGTTTTGTGTGCAAAAGAAAAAAAAAAGACTTTATTCAACAATTCGTCTCCTCCGCGTCACCCTAGCACCATTTTGGAGAATATCCGCTGGACGTAAACACTTCGCTGAACGAAGGTCTTACGGGTTTGAAACGACATGAGGGTAATTAATGACAGAATTTTCATTTTTGGGTGAACTATCCCTTTAAGTCCAAAGTCCATGACAAGACAAAGACAATAAAAATATGGTCTTAAACTCTGGAGTTCGGTCTTGAGTACTACAACTAACAACACCCTTTTGTCATGACAATATCAAAATATATTAGGATGGGATAACAGAGAGCACCAGGTGGAATTTCAAGTAAAGGAAATACTGCTGGTCCTAAACTTGAGACCAGCCCCGTAATTGTCAATTCAGTGTTGTGTCCCCATTTCCCTGGAAACAAAATCTCCTTCGCCTACTTAACCTTGAATCCAACAAAAGACGAGAAACAGATCCGAACAGCACAGTGAAATGCAGCACGCTGTAAGCAGCTCTTTCACTGTCTAGTGATTTGACTTCACAAACCAGGCTAATCCTATTAAGGAACAAATAATATTCCCCATTCAGCATGACAGGTAACTGCTTGACAATCATGCTATGCATTCAATGATCCTGCAGGCTTTCGTAATCCCAGTCTGTTCCACATTCGTCACTTTGGATAGGCATCTGCTAAATGAATAAATGTACTGTAATGTATTTATTACATCATCTCAGGAGGATAGAATAAGGATGCATTTACTGTATCAGTGTTATGTCATGTGGCACACAATGGCAGCACTAGTCCACGTGCCTCTGCGAAATGATCCCAGGCCTTATCATAGAGAACAGCTCTGACAGGTGCACTGATGTAGAAGAGCCACAGCCTCAGCATCACAGAGCCAAACTAGTGAAGAAGCACATACAACTGTCTGCCTATGTTAAGATCTTAGGGCTTCATTGGATGATGTAGCATGCATAAAGTAGACTTGGAAACACTAAAAACGTATGTCAACGCATTCGACACGACAAAAGTGAACTCGTTTTACTTTCTGGAGCCATTTTTGTAATTAAGTAGTGCCGCAGTAGCCTAATTTTGGTGGAATCGAATGTATGAAATCAGTTCCTTTCAAAGTCTCTGCAGTTAATAATAAGAAATCTCGTTTTGATTTAACGTCCACTTCAATTCCCTAAAGCAGTAGGTCATTATATATCTATGCAATCCACTGAAGAACACTGTGTTGTAACATCATATACTAACAGACTCACCTGTAACTTCAATGGATTCAAGCATCATCTCGCTTGTGCTGCGCAGCCTCAGCCTTTTCCCCGTGAAGCAAATGTGTTTATACAAAACAATGAAGCGCACAAACAACACGACAAATACTCAGTAATGCGGTTATAATATCTTGCATATGTCCAGCGCAGAGTAACGCTGTAGTGTGCAAATCTCCGCTTGTAGGGTCCGAGCGCGCTCAATCTCTTCTGTCCGGAGTCTGAAGCGAGAGCATAAGCGCGTTGCCATGGTGCGCCGTCAATGTCACCCCCCAAACGTCAGTTCCGTTTCGATTTGTTTGCGAATACATTTCACACGGTAAATATTTCTATGCATTTAACTTACTTTACTATTAACAGTGCTGGCTGGGTAGTAATTGATGACATGTCATCTGAATTAGGTAATCCGATTCCAAAAATTAAGTAATTGTAATTACATTAAATTACATTAAAAAAATGTATCGTGATCAGACTAGTTACTTTTTTATTGATTAGGCTACATGTTATTCACACAATAGCAATACATTATTCATAATTTATTGATTCTCCCTAGTTCCCCTTTTTCATCTTTTAAATGTTCCTTTCTAAAATAGCCTGCCGCTTATAGATACACTCAGAAAGTCTTCCAGTTTTGTGGACACTCACACAGAGACCAGTCACTAGTCAGGCGGCTACACAGCATTTAACCACTGATTTATAAAAATAATTTCAGGTTTAAGAAGTGTGTCAAGATTGCATCAACTAGTGATGAACACATTACGATTATTTACATTTCCTTCAGCCTGCGGCTTATTCATTTCACTTTTGGTGTGAAAAGGCTTTTATATTTGCCAAAAATATAACTTTTTTATTTTAAAAACAAACAAGCAAGCCCTGTCCAGATTTAAAAAGTAATGCAAAAGTAACATAACACATTACTTTCCATAAAAAGTAACTAAGTAACGTAATTAGTTACTTTTTTATGGAGTAACGCAATATTGTAATGCATTACTTTTAAAAGTAACTTTCCCCAACACTGTACAAGACTATCCTATTTAAATCGATGTGATATAACGAGTCATGTTAAAATTAATCTAAAAGTAATCAGAGCGTAGTCTTGACTATATTACCTAAAATGTGTAATATAGCCTAATGGTTTACGTTACTAACTTCAATTTTTCTCATGTAATTTGGAATCAGCAACGGATTTGTAAGTAATCTACACAGCTCTGACAATCGTTTATGAATGCTTTAAACATAAGACCGAATATGTAAAGCGTTTAAATTTTTTTTTACATTTTTTCATACTGCATGTCTTAAATGTATTTGTAATTTATTTTAATTACTTATTTCTAAGCCATCAGGGCCTCATGATCTCGATTTAACGATCTTCTTTTCTTTTAAACACTTTAGCCTCTGATTTCATGTTTTTGATATTACAACCCTCCTGTGTATTGTGAAATATACTGAAACAATATTTAATCTAATTCCTGTGATATTCATAGACCATAGAACAGAGTTAGCCATTCGGACCAGCAAAGTACAAATATTGCAGTTCTCATTGTACACATTCATACACCCCAGAAACATTTAATTATTCCCATCTAAATTATGCTTTGAAGAATAAAACCCCACAGTACTACACACAGACAGCTTTATACCTCCCTCTTGTGGAGATACTGAACATTTGAAGCTTGTAAGACGAAAGAAAGAAGAAAAAATTCATTAAATGTCTAGAAAGTTAGCGGTGATAATATCGTTAAGGAAGCACACGAGTCTTATGGCCAAGATTTATTTGAAGCAAAAAAAAAACACAAAAAAATAGACAAATCTAGATTGTGTATACTGAATAAAAGTTCTACTTTAAAACATAATAAAAATACAGTAATAAAAGGTAAGTTTAATTTGTAGAACATTACGGTAATTAACATCTGTTCATCTATATAAACCACATTTTAACACCAGATGATCAAATGTACCTGGTAAGAGTTCACAGTTCCTCATACATTGGGCCATTTTCTGAACTTCAGCCAGAAAACAAACGCAATCTCTATTAATATAGCTCAATTGAAAAGTTTTTTTTCCTTCACTGCCAAAAAGTTTTCTAAGAGGACTTGTGTTTTAGATCTGTGGTGAGGCTTTTATGATGATACAGAGTTCAGTTTAGAAAACGCGAGTGGCGACTCACAAATCTTTGAAGATAACGGGGATGATACATAACTTTGTACAACCTTCAAGTTTAAAATGTCTTCTCAGGGAGTGTCCAAGAGCAACAGCTTTAATGGTACTCAATGTGTATCTTGTCAATCAGTCTATAATCTGCAGATCTTTGGGGAGCTGCTGTCTCTCTCTCTCAGCTCGGCTGTGGTTACTCCATGCTCTCAGGGTCTGCCTGGGCCATATACGCATCCAGCTCGGCATCCAGATGGCCCTTGGTCTTGGACATGTAAGCATCAAGCTGGTTGTCCAGCTGCTCTCGTGTGACGACGGGACGGCCTGCTCCTCGGCCTCTGCCGCGTCCACGACCCCTTCCTGCAAACCCTCCACGACCTCTCAGACCCCCGCGGCCTAAGAGAGACAATCATAGACTTTAATGTTCAGAGACAAACATTTAAAGGATAATGTACTCACCCCCATGTCATCCAAGATGTTCATGTCTGTCTTTCCTCATTCGCAAAGAAATGACGTTTTTTGAGGAAAACATTCCAGGATTTTTTTTCCATGTAGTGGACTTCAAAGGTGGCCAACGATTTCAAGGTAAAAAATGCAGCTTCAAAGGGCTCTACACGATCCCAGCCGAGGAATGAGGGCCTTATCTAGTGAAACAATCAGTCATTTTGTTTAAAAAAATATATTTATACACTTTTTTTTACCACAAATGCTTGGCTAGCATTAGCTCTGCGATGCGCGTCTTCATTACGTGATGTTGGAACAGTCACACATGACGTATAAGTGGAAGTACCGACCCAGTGTTTAGAAAGCAAACATGCAAAAAAAAAAAATCGAAGTACAAAGATGAAGAACTAACCGTGTGTGACCTTTCCAACATGATTACATAATGTGTGACGACACGGATGCACATCACAGAGTTAGTGCAAGACCAGCATTTGTGTTTAAAAATTGTATAAATATTATTTTTCAGAAAATGACAGATCGTTTCACTAGATAAGGCCCTTATTCCTCAGCTGGGATCATGTAGAGCCCTTTGAAGCTGCATTTTGACCTTGAAATCGTTGGCCACCTTTGAAGTCCACTACATGGAAAAAAATCCTGGAATGTTTTCCTCAAAAAGCTTCAATACTTTGCGACTGAAGAAAGACAGACATGAACATCTTGGATGACATGGGGGTCAGTAAATTATCAGGAAATTTTTATTCTGGAAATGGACTTATCCTTTAAGCCAGGGGTCAGCAAACTCTTTCCTGGAGGGCCGGTGTTCTGCAGAGTTTAGCTCCAACTTGCCTCAATACACCTGCCTGGAAGATTCAAGTATACCTCGTAAGACCTTGATTAGCTGGTACAGGTGTGTTTGATTAGGGTTGGAGCTAAACTCTGCAGGACACCGGCCCTCCAGGACAGAGTTTGGTGACCCCTGCTGTAAGCACTCAAGAACAAAACAGAAAACACTAACTGGCAGAAGACTGCATTTTTTTAATTTTCAAGTCTCATTGAAAGAGGTGGTGGTATTTCTTAGGGCTGTGCGGCATATCGAGTTTGTACCATATATCGATATATTTTTTTTATAAGCAATATGGCAATACTGTTTATATCGATATACAGTAGTTTGATACAAGCCCATCTGAATAATCGCGGAGGACAGAGTAAGCTGCTGCGGGTAAAGTGCATAATCCAGTTTGTCCTAAACATGAGACATGCTTTGTATAAAGGACTTGAAAATAAATGGTAAGATATAGTTAACACGCATAGTTTAAAGCGGCTCGCCCCATCAGATGCTCTGACAGACTCATGTCTGCTACTCACGCTGTTTAATGCGTTTGAGATGTACGGTTCTCATCGATACATAACTTACATTTCACAGGTGTAGTCTCCATCTGTAAACGTTAGACAATCATGGAAATATTTAAAATTAAATTGCTGTCAGGAGCCGTCTGCATGCGATTCTCCACTAGACTTCACAACCTTCAGTGAACGAGCGCACCAAGCAGCCGAAGCGCAATAATTGTGTCATATGTCGAGTTTTAAACCTACAAGTAAATGTATTTTATAATAGCAGATAGCAGTAATGGGGTAATCAAAATATAATGCAATTATTCTGTGCTCCTGTGTTTATTTACTTTCATTTTTAGTTTAGTGAATTGAACTTCTGCTTTAAAAAGCATTATTTTTGGTTGTAATGTCACAATATTAGAATGTAATGTGATTTTAGCCCCTTTATTTTTTTGCACATAATGGATAGCATATCCTATACCAGTCAAAAAAATACCGATAGATTTTTTATTTTTTTTTTGGCCATATCGCCCAGCCCTAGTATTTCTCACCTCTTCCTCCAGGTGCTCCACGTGCTGCTCCTCGGCCACCCAGAGCACCTCGTCCTGCGGCTCCTCCGCGATAACGCATGCCTCGACGGAGACCGATACGTCCAGGACCACCCCTACCTCTCATCGGACCTGGACCTAACAGATAAAAGTCATTTCACCACAGGAAAATGAATGTGAAAACTATCTCCAGAATGCATAAGGGAGTACTTGCAAAAATGTGGCATTCTTGCGTTACCAAGCTAGCTGCATGCATTATAACACCAAAACTAAGAATCTCATTGTTTTACTACACAGGACAATGCCATGTCTTTTACTGTTAACTTCTCTCAATAACTGAAGATAATTCAAGAGCGGCAATGAGTCAAAATTACAAGTGGATACTCTATTTTTATTTCAGCTGCAAAAATGATCTCCCTTAAAGGGATAATAAAAATTATACCATTTACTTAGTCTCATGTCATTTTAAACCTGTATGACTGACTTTCTTCTGTAAAAGGTGATATTTTGAAGAATGTTTTGGTTTCAGTTCCCACTGCCTTCAACTATTTTTGGGTCCATACAATGGAAGGCAATGGGAACCAAAACTCATTGGCTACTAAACTTTTTCAAAATATATTCGTTTGTGTACCACCAAATTAAGTCAAAAAGATTTGGAACAACATGACAATTTACAATTTGGGGTGAACTATCCTATTGATCAACTACACTCCTTGAAGGAAAAGTAAGGCAGGCCTCAGCTGTCTCTTTCTGTTATCACCCTGAGGCTGCACAACAGGTGCAGGAACTACAAGTCTTGTAATACACCAGGGGTCTCTTAACAGCCATAAAACGACAGCTTAGACCAATCAGCACATCGTGAAGTTTAGAGGGTAGGTGTGAAACCTCAGATGAACAGTGTAACACTGTAAAGCATCAGCTGTACTGCAGTGATTGACAACTCCAAATGAAGCACAGACTTCTTTTGAAATGTTAAGAAGCTGACAATGCACTTTCAGCAAAGGAAGGACTTGCTTTATACTGAAATACACGCAATTATCTCTTCCTCAGATTTAAAACTGCAGCAGCACATAATTAGACTTGGACCTGATTTAAGTTTATTGCCACATCAGCTTCACAGGCTATTTCATGGCAAACAAAGATTTTACATTAGAAAAACAATACAGTAGTACACAATACAAAATACAAAAATTAAATAAAGCCACATAATTAGAACCTGTGTTTGTGTATAAATAGAGGGAATGCAGCTTTGTATGAATTAAAATAGTAAATGCAGGACAGTGGTCTGAGAAGTAGCACAAACAGCCGTGGGATGAAAAGACAGTCACCTCTTAGAGAGAGTGCTCCTCTCATGCCACCGCCTCTCGCTCTTCCCCGCAGTCCTCGTCCAGCTCCACGCAATCCTCCAGGAAAGCCTCGTCCTCTGCCGCCTCCCGGCATCAGCGAGCCGATGGGCCGACCCAGCCTGGCCTGGATGTTGCTCTTCCCAAGTCGCTGTTTTAGGCTCTACAGGTGGGTGATATGAAGGATCGTTTCTCTGGGCTGACTTTAAATGTGGTATGCCTAACTTATAAAGCCAGCATGAAATGACTTTCGGAACATATCTGTAATGCATTACAAAATAATGAAACACGATATGCAACATGAAAAAAACAACAACTTTGTTTTACCCATCCAAAAAGCGTACGTTTCAGACCAGAATTAAACCAGATCTGAACTGCAAGCCTGCAGTTTTGTGACTTCAGATTGTGAAGTCTTACCATTATTGTCATAAAGGTAACAGCATTGTTAACCAACATTAAATTACCATGTAAACTGTTTGCAAATGTTTAGAGTTACAATTTCTTTATACTTTAAAATGAAACCCTATGTTATTTGAACAATTACACCTCCTTGAGCCATCAATGTGGCAATATCTGTTTTTTAATTAATTATATAGAATTCCAAGCACCACAAAACTACTCGTCCCCACAGCCATGTACAGAGAAAAAAGTGCTTTATTTTGATATCCAAAACAGGTTTTTCTACAATTTAAAATAGCTACAACAATGTATTCATAACTATCAAATATATGATGTAAATGACATAAAAAAAAACTAAATGCTGAATAAATATTATAAAATATATAATGAAAGTTGTGGTCCCCTGCAGTTGTGTCACTGGTGCTACCGTTTAACAAAAATAGTTTATTTTGAAATAGAAATCACACTGTTGACATCACTAGACTTCCTTCTTCCGATTTCCTGAAGATATATGAAGAAGGCCCATGTTAAGTCCACTGTCTCTTTTCAGTTATCAGAAATTTTCTCATTTATCTCATGATTTCATATGAAGCTTTTAGTGGAAGTCACTGGTATGACCTACTTTATTGTTAGGGAATTGTAAAAAAACTAGAATACAAATGGATTAAACTACTTAATTTAGTGAGTATACCATGGTTGAAAACATGTGGTTTGATACCTTGCAGCAGACATTTTGTAAAATGGGTAATTCCGTGTCAACTCAACCAGAGGTCCACATTTTTGATTTTGCTCGAGCACTTTTCAAGTTTTTTTCTCCAAAGTTTGCAGGCCTGTAACTAAAAAAATATTAAAGATATCCTAATGCCCTTTTAGATATTGGGTCTTAACAAACTTCCCCTTTGGCATCTTCATTTTTAAGGCCCTATATTGTTCGGTTCCAGAGATATTGGAATTTCAATATGGCTACAGGAGTAAATCATTAAATTGTACACATTTTCAGTGGTCAAAAACCAAATGTGGGTCCTTCTGTCAGAACAACTGCATTGAACATACCTGTCTGAGTGTCATATATATTCTTTTTCCAAAGTTTGCCTGCCTGCAACTCAAGAAGTATTAAAGATAATATGGTTTTAGATTCTAGTTCTTAATAAACTTTTCTTTTGGAGTCTTCATTCTGAAAGCCCTACATCGTTCAGTTTGAGCCGGGGACCTCTGGTTGAGTTGACACGGAATGACCCAAATGCATTTTTCATGAAAATTGTAACTGGTGTTACTGTTACACCTTCCTTATGGGTAAATAAATGCACAAAAAAGATAAACAAATCATTAAGCTGTCATTTATGTATAGCCTATTCATAAAGTCAAAAGATAATCTAATTATGTGGTCTAAGTTTAAATGTTAGCAAAAGAAATACATTTTAAGACATCTTGCCATAACAAAAGTGGACATTTCTGTAGAATGACCCAAAAAGGTAATAGGCTATGCCACAGACCCTCAAATGATCATCTTCATGCAAGGATCCTTATTCTGAAATTTAAAAGACAGCCACTGTATACATTTTCATGTATAAATCCCAAATCTATGCTGTGAAAAATTAACATTATAATTATGTTGAAAATATTTAGATTCTATTACATTACATTATCACGTTTTTACTCACAAATGTACTGTTGATGTATGTTTGTTTATTTATTTAATCTTTTAATTATTTATTCTTATTCTTTTACTTTTTATTATCCATTTATTTAAATCGACATTTTTTTACATTGTTTTTAATTTGTACATAGTTTTCTTTCTAAACTGTGTCACTACTTTTCACTGCTTGAAATTTCATGCCAGTTGCACACTATTTCTACAGTCTGCTTTATGTATACTGTTCATCATTACATGCTGTTTCATGTGCTAGTTTCACATACAATGTATACTGCGTCGCAGGTAGTAAGCAATCCGCTAGCATTAGGCTACTATTGTATTTGAACACAGCCATATGTGTGACGCAGAAGTTCGCACATTTGGAGATTCGCTGATTTACAAATCATCGCACATCGATTTTCTAAGATTTATTCTCACTGCAAATAATTTTGTTATCAATTTCTTTATTTTTGAGCCTTAAGAAGACTTTTTTTTTTTTGCAATCTTTTATTTTTTAATTACAAAATTAGTTTTACTCTCAAACATAGAATGTTTGATTGAACAATAAAGACACAAAAATGATTCCATATTGTACTTGCGCTGTGTTGTAATATCTGTAAAGACGCAGTGACTAGCGCCATTGTTGCCAAGTCCGCGGTTTTCCCGCGGAATTGGGCTACTTTAACACTGTTGCCGCGGGTTGACCCCAGTGATATTTAGCTCCTGGAATGCGAATTGTACCAGGGGAACCCCGCCAAAAAACGTGTATTTTACCCCCTGGAACGTGATTTTTACTGGGGTACCCCCCTCCAAAAGCAATTGGGCCACTGATCTATAATAGATTATGGCTGCATCTGAAAGCTCTAAAATGCTGCTTTCGGAGGCAGGAAGGCATCAAGGCACGGCCTAATCCAAATTCTGCTTCACTTCCTGTCTCCGGTACCTTCTTCTGATCCAATTTTGAAGGTAGCATCGATGTATCCTTCGCTGCCTTTGATATCCCACAATCCTGTGCGTTCCATTCCGTGACGGTTGAGATAAAGATGGCGTCTGACAGTTGCTAGGTGCTTTTGGAAGAAAAAGTTGCTAGGGTAGTCTGAAAAGTTGCTAAATTAGCAACAAAATTGCTAAATTGGCAACACTGAGTGGATTAGGCTGGTTTTGTTTCGAAAACCTGGCAACCCTGACTAGCGCTGTCAGATCAGAGCTCAGTAAAGATGGCAGCGCTAGCAGTGGTGGAAACCCCATCAGGGAAAGATGCTCTCGCGGAGGGTTTGCTGGATCTCATGAGTCCCGCTGTACAGCAGCTTGACTTACATGTGCACTCAGTCAGGTAGTGTATTTTTATTTTTTTTTTAGACCCGATAAATGTTTAATTCAAAACGATTAGTTGTGTGTGCTAACATGCTAATGGCTGTCAACATGACAGGTCTTGTGACCGAGTCAGGGATGCTGTACCATGCAAAACAATTGCAGTTCGTTTATTTGTTTCTTACATTTTCGCAGTATCGCACCATGTTTGCGTTTGAGATATGGTGCATAGTCATGGATTTCAAAGCGTGCATAAATATGTACAGCTAGCTATATCGTTTATATACTGTAAATTTGTCTTCACAGAGAAAGCCAAGTGGAACTTAGGGAACACATTGATAATTTGGCATCTGGTAAGTTGGTCTGAGGTGATTATGCCTTTACAGTTTTTCTCAATCCCTTTGGCTTAATTCTTGAATGAGATTTATTTTTCTCAAAACGGCAAGTTAAGTTCAGACCTCTGGGCAATTAGTAAATCCTAGTTCACACACCAGGGTTGAATTTCTTTTCGATTTAGCAGATTGCACGTGCTGTGGCACCTGTCTGCAAAATAGTGAGGACAATTTGCACAATAACTAAATGCTCAAGGAGATTCTGAGTGAAATTGTCATAATATTCACAACTTATAATATTCTTTAATTGTGTGAGCCATCACATGCCAAATTAAACATTTAATTGTAAAACATCTGACAGACACATGTATATTCTGTAAATATTTGTGACATGGAATATTTGTTGATGTCTGCTAAATTGGAAAATGACATGCCATAGTAATAATATCGAAATCACAATCATACCAATCAAGCATCTACAGTAGTCAACATTTCAAGTGGAACAAAAAAGTTAATCAAAGTTGTCCTAAGACAAGAACGCATTGTTTTGGTTTTAGGACAACTTTGATGAAAGGTTTTTATCCACTTCAAATGTTGACTAGTATATATGAAACACAAAATATGTATATTTTGCCCCTGAAGTCTTCTTAAAGTTCCAAAAGTATTTTGACATGCTTGGATTAAATGTTTCTCATGTAAGACAATACAGGAATGAAAAATCCTATTCAAGAAACTGATACAAAATTCAATAATTTCAGTTTGAGCCTTGAAACGTGATGTTTGACTGTTGAAAATGGTTTAGCTATGCAATTAAATAATTATAACATCATAGTTATTAACACTATAGTTAATAATGCATTTGTTGTTGTAAGGATCAAAAGCACATTTAATGTTATTTTATGGGAATTAATCAGAAGTAACTGTAGGATCTCTGTCTTTGAACGGACCCACTTACACTATTGAGTCACACATGAAACAATCACATTCCATTGAGACAAACTGAGGCACCCCTATGCAACCAGCTGCGGTCGTAAAACTCATGCAGGGTCAGTGAAGGGTTGAAGCAGTTCCTGTCCCATTTAGCGTATCTCTCAAGAGACTCACCTAAAAGACAGTGCTTAAACCCTAACTCAAACTAGGATACAAAACTATCTTTGTTTTACGGGCTTTCAAGGACCAGATGCGTGATACCCCTGACCATTTAACACATAAATTGCTAAATCCGATCAACAAAAGAGACAATTTTAGAGCTCCCTGTCCAGCAGAAGGATGGCAGATATACACTCGTGACATGGGCATGACCTCAGGACACCTCCCCTTTCCCCCCTGCATTCCAAAAAAAGGGACACGAACTTACACAGACGATTCATAAGACAATCATTTGAAAGTATCGGAGCAATAGATTCACAAATAATATGGTGTATGTCTTATATATATATATATAT